TTAAGTGAAAGTTTACAGCTCAAGTTAGTTTCTCATACAAAAATTTATACACACGTTGTCATGTAACCCTAGTTGCTCTCCCTATAATGTGACAGCACACTCCTCCTTTCTACCCCGGATCTCCCATGTCCATTCAACCAGCTCTAGGACAGGGATTTTTGTCTGATTTGATCACTGATGTATCTCAAGTACCTAGATCTGTGCCTGGCACTTAAACAGGAACTTATTAATTAGTTGGTGAATGAACGAGTGGGTTATTCCTGGTAGTGGGATTATGATGATTTTTACCTTTTAAATTTTTTGTTTTCCACATATTTATCATGTGCATCCACTAATATTATAAACAAAAGAAATTATAAAACTATAAGGTAGGACTTACAGTAAAGACTGCTTGAAGATTATTGAGCTTCTCTATTTCCTTGGGCATCCCGTTACTGCCCCAACGAATCAAATAGTTCTCACTGGCAAAGAAAAAGAAAATTACTTTCAATGAGGGGCTAACTGGAGATTGACGGTGCCTTCAGTACAGACTGAAAGGCAATAACCAGACGTACTCAGTTCAATTCAACAGGCAGGTGAGAGGGTGGCAGAGGCAGGAACTGAGACTGGGGAAATCACTCCCACTCACTGGTCTCCTGGCTTGGAGAAAGTACCTGCTGCAGCCCAATTGCATGAGGCACACCCAGTATGGAACCACGAAAAACATCATTCGAGATGGAGCATAGACAAAGAAGATCTTACCTGATGCTACTGTCTGGGGTCAGTTTTACTCTCAAATCCTTTTTAAAAAAGATTCCACTTTGCTGAATCAAGAATTAACTTTAGAAAAACAGTTCGGTGGTTCCTCAAAAAGGTGAACACAGAACTACCATATGACCCAGCAATCCCCATCCTAGGTGTATACCCAGAAGAAGTGAAAGCAGGAACGCAAATAGAAACCTGTACACCAAAGTTCACTGCAGCACTTTCCACAACAGCCAAAAGGCATTACCTAAGGACACAAAGCAACTCTGAACGTGACAGATACACTTATTATCTTGATTATGGTGATGGTTTCCTAAGTATGTCTATATGTCAAAACTTACTGTAAACTTTAAATACCTGCAGTTTATTGTATGTCAATATACCTCAATAAAACTTTTTAAAAAGTCAGAAAAACCCAAACCCACTGCCCTTGACCACTGCACCACCAGAGCTCCTTAAAAAGTAAAAAAAAAAAAAAATTAATTTTATAATAATCATTCCGAACTGATCCCCTGAAATGCATGTGTGCACACTCAAATAAAACTTCTATTTTAGAAATAAACAATTTGTCAGTAATTAAACCATCTTCTCAAAAATAAATTTATGTTTTCTCAGTCGCTTGGCAGTAGCACCACCCCAGGGCTGAGCAAAGCTCATTATCATTCCCTGTGGAGTCCCTGGGCGGCATAGATGGTTTGTCTTCCTTTACTAACCTAAAGGTTGGCAGCTTGAACCCACCAGGCAGTGCCATTAAAGAAAGGCCTGGTGATCTGCTTCCATAAAGATGAGAGCCAAGAAAACTCTATGGAGCACAGTTCCACTCTGTAACTCATGGCATCGCCATGAGAGGAAATGACTTGATGGCAGTGGGTTCTTT